TATTGAACAACGTCTACTTTTCCTTCTCTATCAAGGGCTTGTGCTTAGCGTCATTGACTATGGTCTTGGCCTCCTCACTGTCAGCAAAACCCAGCTAGAAAGACTGGACCGAGTACAGAATGAGGCCATGAGACTCATACTCGGCTGCACAAAAGATACCTCCTGCAACGCCATGCGTTATATCCTGGGTCTGCCGACTATGACAAGCAGATACAAAGTGGCACAGGTCAAGGCTTACATGAGGGTATCGGCAGATGTTAACCACCCATTACACAAAGCTATTCACGACACAAAAGGAACGCGTCTCAAAAGGGGCCGCTCTTGGATGGCAAAGGCTGAGGACTTAATCCAGCAGGTATGTGACCTAGACGTGATCCGCCACGGAAAAGAATGGACGAATACACCAGTAGACATGCATGGCATCTCTAAGGTTGTCATCACACTCGGAAAGTACTGCCGGGATGAAATTCCTGCGGCCGTAGACACAGAAGTAAGGGAACTGATAGATCAGCATTCAGACCCAGAATATACCATAATCTACACAGATGGATCCGTGAAGCGCGGATCAAGGTCAGCATGGGCATACACAGCGCAAAGAAAGGGGAAAACAATACATGAGGACAGTGGCGCTTACCAGACAACCACGTCAAGCATGACAATGGAAATAGCCGCTGCTTCTAGAGCTTTAGCATGGGTATCCGAGCAAACCGCCACACAGGCAGTAATTGTCTCAGACTCAATGAATATGCTTCAGAAGATAGCAACAGGCAGTATGCGCTCTGAATGGATAGAAAGCATCAGGAAATCGCACTTAACCTCCGTAACCTGGATCTACACACCGGGTCATGCGGGCGTGAAGGGAAATGAGCGAGCAGACCAACTGGCAAGCACTGCACTAATGATTGCGGGAAAAAGTATGGACAGAGCAGACATAGTCAACGCTGTACGAACTGGGCTAGTGGAGAATGAGGAATCCCTGACACTAACACGATTGCGTGACATGGGAGTTAAGCATGGTGATGCACGTCTTTGCCGTCTTCGAGGCCGAGAAAGGAGACAATATAACCAGCTTCTCATGGGGACAATTAGTAGAAGTACTTTAGAGTGGCTGCTGCTTCGGAGAACTGAGCACGCATGGGTATGCCCAATGTGCAGTGACATTAATTGTGATAACAGAACATAAAATAACAACTTAGTAGGGAGTTGGCAGTACGAAACCCAAGTTCAAGGTGTCTCCTTCGTGCCAAAGAACTGCATGGCTGTTGGGTGAACAGTCGTTAACGATGGCAGGCAGGTCGTTGTAGGGGCGACGCCTGCTGGTGGATGTAATGCCCTAAGTCCCTTCCCCAGCTAACAATGAGGGTACTGCTGGGGTGACCGTTTATTAACCCTCATATAATTCTTCCGGTCAAAATGGACGCTAGGTACGGCCACCCTTTTTTTTTTTAAAGCCGTGGCAAATATTTTTTTTTCCAGACGGTGGCCGTTGCATTTTTGCTCCATTTGTAGACTGGAAGGATGTAGTTTCGTCGCCCAGCTTCTGAGTTGAGTGCATGGCGTGACACTGTGAGCTGCGTTTGTTTTTCGTTGGCACAGGAGCGGAGCATATGTGGGGTGACCCGTTTGCTATGAAGCTGAAACTAGGATTACCAGATTACCAGATTACCAGATTAATGTCCTGTCTACTGTGTTCTTTAGTATTCAATCAATCACAAGGTTGAAGAGGAGAGATGACATAACACATCCCTGTCTTACACCCGTCTTTACTGGAAAAGATGTATTGTAATTTTTTTATACTGCAGGAAAAGTCTTCATAGAAGAGAGCAATTATGTTGACTATTTTTTCTGGAATTCCATAGTGTGGTAAAATTGTCCACAGACCGTCTCTATGGACGCTGTCAAAAGCTTTCTCAAAGTCCACAAAATTTATATTTATACTTATCTGCCATTCGTTGCATTGTTCTAAATTGTTACGTATGGCGAAGATGTGCTCAGTTGTTCCTCTGCCCTTTCTGAATCCTGCTTGTTCCACTCGTAGGCATTTATCTACTCCTTTTTTCAAGCCGCATTATGATGATTTTACAAAATATTTTGCTTGGTACTGAGAGTAGAGTAATTCCCCTCCAATTATTGCAGTCTGTTAAGTCTCCTTTTTTGGGGATTTTGACTATTGTTCTTTCAGTTCAGTCGTCAGGCAACACTTCTTTTTCCCAAATATCCTTGAACAATGGTTCTAGAATGCTAGCAGTTGTGTTGGGATCTACTTTGAGAAGTTCTGCTGGCAGTTCGTCTTTGCCTGGTGCTTTGTTGTTCTTTAAAGTGTGGATAGCTTTAAGGATTTCTTGTTTGATTGGTGGTTCAGTAATAATGTCAATGTCCTGACAGGCTGGTTGAATGAATATCTGGGGGATTTTCAGGATCAGGTCTGTTCAAGAGGTCAGAGAAGTGTTTAGTCCACTGCATGTCTTGTTTTTGTTCTGTGGTGAGCAGTCTGCCTTGGTTATCTCTGATGGGTATGCTGTGATAATTGTTTCTGTTTCCGCAAATTTGCTGAGTAATTTTGTGTAGGGTTTGCAGATTATGTGCTTTAGCAGCATTTTCTGCTATTTCTGCAAGATTTTCCATAAATCTTATATTGTCAGCTCTACCACTTTTCTTGGTCATTTTATTTAGTTCGTTATATTCTAACATTAATTTGTCTTTCTGACGTTCTGATTTAGTGTGATTTATAAGGCTCTTTATTCTTTTTCGCTTGGCAATATAGTCCATGGTTTGACTACTTATCCATTCTTTGTGGTGTTGTTTCCTGGTTCCTAATATATTATTGCTAGTTGATTTGTATTTTTCTTTGATCTGGTTCCATCTGTCTTCAATGCTGATTGTAGTTGGAGTTTCTGGATCACTTGATAGATTTTGAAATCTATTCTTGAGTTCTACTATAAATTTAGTGGCAATGTCTTTTTTTCTTAAAAGGTTAACATTGTAACGTGCTGTCTGTGTCTTAACTTGCGTGTAAACTTTTTTGAGTTAAGTCGTAGTAGAGCGACTACAAGGTGATGATCGCTTCCCACATCTGCTCTCCTTTTGACACGCACATCGAGTAGGGATCCACGCCATTTTCTGTTTACCATGAAATGGTCGATCTGGTTTACATCTCTTCTGTTTGGGGATATCCATGTAAGCTTGTGTATATTCTTGTGAGGAAATAGTGTTCCTCCTAAAACAAGTATATTCGCCGTGCAGAAGTCGCTCAGTCTTTCCCCGTTGTCATTAATTGTACCACATCCTTGATTTCCCATTGATAGTTCTCTATTCAAGTTGTTGTTACCAACTTCAGGTCCTCCAGGCTCGGGGGTTGGACGCAGTGTTGACAGCTCTGCCCTGTAAAAAATCTACAACGTTACTGAAACTTCAAGTGAAAATAAGTGCTCTAAACGTCCGGTGGTCTTGAGTCCCTCTGTCAGAGATAGATGTTCAGTGACATGTATCCGCCTTTTCTGAGGTCACCTATGCGCCGCTGGTGTTAAAAGGGTCATTTACTTTATATTTTAACTATGCTGCAATGGGTACTTCAGGAGAGAAGTGACAACTAGATGCATGCAGTTTGATTCACTAATCCATGACTATCGTGTTCCCTGCTCACTCCGCTCCACAGATCACGGTCCTTGGTATTTTAAATAAATTCCTCTGATATGACACTGCGGGTAACACTGAGTTAGTAACTGTGTGCCCTAATCATTGTGGTTCCTTACTGTTAAATAAAACATCACTCCTCTGATGTGACTCCACCTTGAAGCAGTTAAGGGCTTGTGCGTTTTAATGGGTCTAAGAGCTATGACGAGAGTATTGTAAGTCCTGTAGTCTAGGCAGGTCAAAGGGGGCTGATGAAGAAAGAGACAGGCCAGCTGCCTTGTAGGCAGACTGGGAAAAGCCAGCACATTCAGTCTCTCCCATCGACGTTTGCCTTATACGTTTTTCCCGAAACATTCTTTTTGTAGCAAAATCTGAAAAAAGTGCTCAGCGAATTCAAATCTGTTGAGACAAAGGCAAGTCGAACAATGAAATGTAACTCGTTTTGGTTAGTTCGACGTTAGTCTCCCCAATTAGAGTGGGTCACTTTTCATTAGCAAGTTTGTGGGGCTGGTCCACTTTCCTGAAGGTTACGCGTGTGTCCTGCTTTGTTGTTTATGAAAGCGGGCTACGACGAATTTAACTTGATTTTAGTCTGTACGACGAATGCCTTAATTTAGTTTGATTTACAAATTCAAAAAAGCCTGACCACTGTGTATAAAAAGGTCACCTCACTCAAAAACCTCTTGTTTTTTCTTTACTTTCCTGTTTTTGCTGTTCAGCGTGGAACTATTACTTTTTGTCCTAATCACAAATTCCTCATCCCTTCTACTTTCAGTGTTTTCCCCTTCTTTCTTCCCGCTAGCACATTTGGTTTTTGCGATGTTTTGCATTTACGTTTTCATTCCGACAAAGAGCTTGCCTGTGACACAGGTTGCAACACTCTTTAGGGGTGTTTTGTTAGACCCAGTTTATCTATGTTTTTAGAGTGTTAAAAGCGCTGGCTTGCTGAACTATACAATACTGGATATCAACGGCATTTTGGAACACAGCCGTAACCGTGTGCGAAGGTCACGGGTCTCAGGAACTACCAATCAGAAGTGAGCTGGTTTGTATATGGGCGGGGTCTGGGAACTAACCATCATTTTATATCGAAACAGTAGTGTAGCAAGATCACGTGGACCCATTTGAGAACACTTCCTGTAGCATTCCCCCACCCTCCTTTCTACGCAAGTGTATGAAAAAATAAAATGGTACATTTAATGTTATCTGGCCCAGGCACACCGTCTTGAACGGTCAATCAAGGTGTGTCGTGTCTGGGCCTGACAACGTTACATGTACCAATAAAATCCGACAAACCGCAAGACACTAAGTGGAATACAAGCAGAGAATACACTCTTCACCCTCATGACGCCGGTACCCATACCAACCTCCAGGTCATAGATAAATCCAGCGTCTTGTTCCCTGTGTCCGCCCGTGATGATCGTCGTCAGATTCGCGCAGCTGATTAAATACCTCGCGACTCTCGAACTTGAGCGACCGTCAATTTTTATACGGCCCGGTCTGAGGTTTCGTGCATACTTAATCTGTTAAAACGACAGAAACACAATTCACTTAATGTATAAAACCAGCAAACGAACTTATGTTTGACACACAGACAGGCAGGCAGACAGGTTTTACATAAAAGTAAAACTAAAGGTCCCATTTCCACGCCTCAAGGCGTATAGGGCTAGACCTATATTTTCATAGACCAATTGGCACAAGATGGATGATGTGGTCAGTATCATGCCGACCACATTTACTTCCCGGGACTGCACCTGGTACCCACTTAGGGCTGGGTCGACCTGGAAGCCATGGTCATTTTTGAAAAAAGTCCGGCTCCGTCAGGGAGCGAACCCCTGACCTTCCGATCCGCGTGATTACCATCACCACCTAGGCACCATAAATTGCAGCCAATGAATCGAGTCGTCAAGCTTTAACAAATCTTTTCAAAACTATGAGTCCTTTTATATGGTGAATTTAATATACGTTATGTGATGGTAAGCATAATTCAGAATTCTAGGCTTAAAAAACTCGAGGTCGACTTTCCCACCAGGCCAAAGTTAAGCTGCAGTTTACAGAATTTTTACAACGAACTATTGCTACAACGTTGGCAGAAGTACACAGTTGGATTACGGTCCATGCCTTTTCCATTTCTTTCCATAGGGTAACCAGTGTGCCTGTTTTTATGCAAATCTGGTCACGCGTCGATGATGATATTTATATAATAACAGGCTTTCGATTTTATTTGACAATATATAACACTAAATATTGCCGCTAGTATTCGATCTCCCGTGTAAAAAGTTAGTAAAAGAGCTCCCTTGACAGACACCTCCCTCTCCCATCCCCCTCTCTCTACATAAATATATATGTGTATGTGTGAACATTTGCTTTTGATGTCTATTTAGCGTTCCAGAATAGACAGGAGACAGTTGTGGCAGCACTTGAGGATGCCTACAAAAGAGTCAGTTATGATATTTTGATATCTGCGCTCAAAGAGAAGAGGGTTTGACCCTGGCTTGTGAACTGGATATCAGCTGTCCTGCATGCACGTATGATCGTCCTGCGCCTGGGTCCTTGGACCTCAGAACCAAGTAATATCGCCCAGGCACTATCCCACGGTTTTGCAATGTTTTCTGTGCTTTACAATGTGTATAGAAGCAGGATTGCAGAACTTTTGAGATACCGGATGAATATTGACATTTACAGAGGATTTTTATGTATATAGACGAAAAAGCCAAAGGCAACAGACAGTCCAAGAGCTTATGGCAACTGTGAAGAGACTAAATCGGAGCTATAAGAAAAACAGCAGCACCTATGCAATTGTAAATTATAAAATCCTAAGGATTTGGGACTCCTAAGGTCACTTGCAAACATTTGTGTTGATCCGTACAAGAAGTTTTGAGATTTTGTTAAAGTGTGAGGGTAAGACTTTAGAAAGCACTGTAGTGTGTCGTGATCAACAGCTGGGAATGCTGCTTTGTTAAAGAAGTCACTTACACTGTACGAAATTGTATGCCAGGTGCTATCGTTGAATAGGCGGTTGTTTTGTACCGGCACCAAGATGTCTGCATGAATAACCGGGCACCGGATTTTGTACACGAGGTCACCGTTCTCCAGGACGAGTGCTATCATCTCCTGCGGGTTCCTGGTTCTGCCATAGAACAAGATTCCATCAGCAGAATTTGTGTTAAACTCGAAGCTCAGTCGAAACCTGGTATTATGAAATAAAATATGCAGTGGTTAGTACGTATGACCCCCGTCTTTTGACGTACAGAAAACATCCCTATAGGCAGGCGGGTATTTAGGCTGTATGACGCCCCTGTGCAGATACTTTTTTTTACACCACATCTTTGCATGTGTCAGAGCCACCGTGGTGTAGCGACTAGACGCTGGCCTGCAGATCCGAAGGTCGTGGTTTCAAACTGCTGGGGGTCGAAATGTTTTTAAACTTGACCTTGGCTGCCAAGTGGACCCAGTCTTAAATGAATACCAGCTGAAGTCCTAGAAGTAAAGGGAGGCGGGTGTGATGTTGACAGCATCGCCCATTGATCTATAAAAATATGAGTCTTGCTTCATGTGCCCAATGCTCCACTGACGTGTAATGTGACATTTAATATTGCTGGCTTTAAATATCACAATGTTTGTGACAAGGAGTCCTTGACTTTACAACTAGCTCCTCAAAATTGTGTTACCCCTTGCAGCTGCACACGTTGTTCATGCCTGAACGGGACCCTGCCTAAAAGAATATTAATTATTGGACAAAGCATACATACTAGGTTATATCGTCGACCATGTGTTGGCGATATATACCACCAAAGCAGTGGGGCAGGGTGTTTGATGCCGTATTTCCATTTGGAGACTTAGCAGCCACCCTCTTTATCCTTAGTAAAAGATGGTGGTCATCTGACGTCACTAGTGATTTCGTGTTGCTGTAGTAGGCAACCTCTTTATCCTTAGCAAATATCGATCACAGATTATTGTTTTTTCCGGGAGGGTGAAGATATATGATGCTAGTGTATAAATCGATACCTTGCATCGTTTCCAAAGCGATGGTTGACTCATTCGCCCATCCAGTTGGTCGAAATCATTTATTGCTGATAAAGTGGCGGGTGACTCATCGAGCCAAAGAGAAGGAGTTCATCTAACTTTTTAAATACGGCGTTTTATTTTTAGGGGCCTGATATGGTTTTAAGGAAGGCTAATCGATATTTCTTCAGTGCAGGGTCGGAAGCGGTTTTCCGCAGCTTCAGACAATTACTTCAAGCAATTATTTCGGGTTACATAAGGGTGACTCATGCAGCGAAATAGAGGCCATTGTGACATATTATTGGATGCCGGTCGCTTAGGGATGATTTGAGCTGTAGTAAAAAGGAGAACGTTTGACAGAAGGGTCGGTGTCTTGTTATAGTGTTAGATGTTAGTAGTTTAGGGAGGGTTTGAGTTGTATAAAAAATAAAAACTATAGCAAAACGGCGGCTATTGTGACATACTTTTGGATGCCGGCCACTTATGGATAGTTTTAGTTGTAGGGGAAAAATAACAAAATGGCGACTGTTGTGTCATAGTGTCGGGTCTGGCCGTACAGATATGGTTAGGCTATAGTAAAAAGGAGAACTGTTGTGTCATATTGTTAGACATCGCCGCGGACGACACATATTTCAGACGGACAGACTGTCTTTCGATATCATCCCTTTCATGTATCGTACCACTAGGAAACAGTTTCGTCGGAGAGCCCGTCGATGGAATGCGTAGTGTGGTAGTCGGAGACAACAGCCTCCTTGAAGAACCATCGACAAGCTTTGTGTGTTTACAGTAAGACAACATTTCATATTACACAACTTGGTAGACGACCAGGGTAACAGATGGTTGGACATCTTGTTTCAAGGGCGACTAGTTAGTTAGCTGAGTTTGTGCAAATACAGTAGAACGAAAAGACATCGAGCCTCTTAAAGTGGTTGAGTGGTAAATGACAGCGATAGCTTTAAGCCATGTCAAGAAAAGCGGGACTATTTTAAAGCAGTTTGACATGCCCAGTGAAACAAAACATGTTAGTAAATTTGCGATAATTTTGTCACAATGTCGTTTTGTGTTTTGTAAAAGTCACCGTGTATCTCTTAAAAATCGCCTTATGTTGTATAAAAGTCGCCTTGTGTTTCATCAAAGTCACCTTATACTTTGTAAAAGTCACCCTCACGTTTCATAAAGTTGCCTCGTATTTTCTACAAGTCGCCCTAAGGTTTCTAAAAGTAGCCTTATGTTTTATTAAAGTCGCCCTCTGGTATCTAAAAGTCGCCCTCTGGTTTCTAAAAGTCGCCTTGTATTTTCTGAATGTTACCTGTGTTTTCCGAAAGTCGCCGTGTGTCATAGTCGTCAGAGACAGCCATTGAAAGACGAGTGCCATACCTTGCGTGATTTAAGAGGTCTTAAAGGACCAAGACATCGAGTGTTTCCCTGACAGAAAGGACATCTAAGTGACTTGAATAGTACCGATGCTAATAAATGACTAACCAAGAAAGGTTGATGAACGATTGACTTGAGCTGTCCCAAACGAGACAAACATTGAGCAACTTAAGATGTCCCAACGGCTAAAGGCATTGAACGCTGTAGGGATAGTGGCCGACCTTACTAAAGAACTTCTATAAACGACTTAGCAAGATCAGTGAGCAATTTAGGTTGGCTTTTGTGACTTAGGGTGTCCCACCAAAAAAAAAAAAAAAAAAAAAAAAAAAAAAAAAAAAAACCGCGACTGAAGATGTCCAAACTGATAAAGACATCGAATCACTCAGGCTGTTCCAGTTATCGTGGCTGTGTTACTAAGAAACTTCTGTGAACGATTAACAATGTGTTACATTGTGTCCCAGAGAGAAAGACAGCGGGTGACTTAAGTTCTCCTAAAAACAGTAAACATCTTAACAAGGAATTTAAGTGAAGCTTCGTTAAGAGAAGCCTGTGACAGTTTATTGCGCTTGTTTGGCAATTTAGGCTATCCTGAAGGAGAAAGATGTTGAATAACTTACGGTGTCTCTGAGATGGTGGTCAGCCTTACCAAAGTGATTCAGGGAACGACTTACCGAAATTAGTGAGCAAGGTCTGAATTGTCTTGTTTTTCCCAAATGAGACAGACAGCAGACGATTTAATATTCACCATAACATTGATCGCCTTATGCAAACACATAAGCCACTTTACGTTTTCCCTAGTCTAGTGGTTGACTTAGTAGGAAAGGTTTGTGAACTCCTTAGGAAACCAGTTATCAATTAGTAAAGTGCACTGATCGACTTACCTGAAAACTTCGGTGAACCACTTACAAAGACCAGTGATTACATTGCGAGCTACTTTATGTGTCTTATGTTGTCCCTCGGCGCATAATCACTTCCTTTAACTAGTCGACATGACGCGTTGACCCCCTCACTTAATATCCGCCTCTAACATTGTTTCATGTCATCAACCGAATTTACTCCGTTTTCATATTTTGTTATAAAAGGCATAACCCCATGTGCCCTGACATGCTACCCCAGCCCCATTCATCACCTTGTAGCGCTGCCT